TGGGGTGACGTGCGTCGTGGCAGGGCTAGCTGGAGGAGGATGGAGCAGGGGGATGTCTTCCTGCTGCTCAGCACTTGGTCTGATGTCTGGGCTGCTCTCTCCTCCCTGGCAGCACCCCGAGGGAAGCGCGGCTGGAAGCCCTTCCACGCCATCCTGAAGGGGATGATTCTCTACCTGCAGAAGGTAGGCAGCAGCGGGGTCACCCGCATCCGTGCCAGGGAGAGGGATCGTCGCCAGCCCGGGGGGGAGGTAATGGCAGTCCCCACAGCAGCAAGAGAGGGGCTGCAGTGCACAGCATTGCAAAGCCTGGCTGAGCAGGCTCAGCACCATGCCTGCTTGAGCCGTTGCTTGGGGACCTGGTGGCATCCCTGTTGCCAGGGTTCTTGGGCTCAGCCTGGCTGCTGACTGAGGATGCTGTGTGCAGAGGCTTGGCTGCATAGAGATGAGGCACCGGGTCTTTGCCCTGGGTGGGGGGCCGGGCATTGGGCTGCCCATCCAGTTTCCTGCAGGCACACATGCTGCCCAGGTGTGGGGAACAGCCACCGTGCTGTTGCCAAGTCCGTGCACCCAGGTTGTGCAGCCTCTCCCCATGGGTGTAGCACGAGCTGGAGGCAGAGCCTGCAGCATCCTGTTGGAGGGTGATCTCCAAGCCCCACCACTGCCAGCGCTTGCCTTGCAGTTCCCACAGCCTCATAGAGCTGACTCATGGTGGGGTGCATCCCTAAGCTGTCTCTGAAATGCCCTGTGCTTCGCAGGAGGAGTATAAGCCGGGGAAGGCGCTGGCGGAAGAGGAGCTGAAGAATGCTATTAGCATCCACCATTCGCTTGCCACACGGGCGTCTGACTACAGCAAGCGACCCAACGTCTTCTACCTCAGGACAGCTGACTGGAGGGTCTTCCTCTTCCAAGCACAGTGAGTCTCCCAGGATCACTGGCTAGACCCCACGCTGGGGCGCAGGGGCTTGTCTGACTGGGGTGGAGGGTGGGATGGAGCTTAGGGCCACATTGCTCTGTCCTGGCCCTTTCTGGAAGGAAAGGACCCGGTGTCAGCACTGTGCTTTGCCCAGCTCCTCCCCACCCTGATGGGCTCATGATGGCCCGAGTCACTGGGGGCAGAGCCCCAGGTGCTGTGGCTGGCCAGGGCCAGGCCTGGGGGACGCAGGTCTTGCCTGCAGGTGACACAGGTAGTGCCACTTAAAGCCTATCTGTGGTTTGGCTTTTTTCCCCAGGAACCCCGAACAGATGCACTCGTGGATCACACGCATCAATGTGGTAGCAGCCATGTTCTCTGCACCCCCCTTCCCCGCGGCCATTGGCTCCCAGAAGAAGTTCAGCCGTCCGCTGCTGCCCAGCTCCTGCACCAGGCTGTCGCAGGTGGGCCATGGTGTGGGGCAGCTGGGGGCATGGGACACACCCTCTGGGTCTGCTGATGGCACTGTCCCCTGCAGAAGGACCTATGTGGTGCCACGCGCCCAGCTGCCTCCCAGTGGGATGCAGGACCAGGGCAGCCTGGCCAGCGAGACAGGGAGCAAGAGGGTGCTGAGGTTGGGAGTAGTCAGTGTGGTCTTGTTCCTGGCAGCAGGGATGGGAGACAGGCAATCGAGTCAGACCATGGAGGAGAACGTAGCCCAACACCATGGCTTGCAGGGTCCTGCTAGGGCCAGGACCTTGAAAGGCAACTGGCCAGGAGGATTAGCTGGTGCTTGCGCTTGCCAGGACAGTTATTCATAGAGCAGAAAGGATTAAAAAAACCACAAACAAACAACTCACCAGCCTGGTTTTATAGGGGATTAAATTCCTCTGCTTTAAGACTGCAGCCAGCTCCCTGTGAGGCAGGACAGATTGCCCCCATGGGCCTGTGCTTTTGCCTGTCATTCAAAAAAATAAAACACCAAACAGGAGCAGAAGCTGAGATCCTGGCTGGCCCTAGGAGGGGAAAAACCTGTTCTGGCCCCAGCTGGCTCACAGTGCCAGGGGGTCAGAGCAGAGGGCACAGTGGGGTACTGACGTGGTGCCACCCTTCCCCAGGAGGAGCAGGTGAAGAGCCATGAGACTAAGTTCAAGACGATGTCAGCGGAGCTGTTGGAGCATCGCTCCTCACTGCCTGAGAAGAAGGTGAAGGGTAAAGAGTATGAGGAGCTGAAGCAGAAGGAAGAGTACCTGGAGTTTGAGGTGAGCTGGTGTCCCTGCCCCCAGCCCCTCTGCCCCTGCCTGCTTGGCCATCCTGAGTGATGGGACCATCCCAGTCCCCATCAGCTGAATTGCACTGTGCCACTGCTGTGGTCCAGGACCACAAGCATCCCCTCACCCTGGGATGCTGGCTGAGGGGCAGTGCTCAGCTCGCCAACCCCTCTCTCTGCTGCACTGTGCCCCCCAGAAATCCCGCTACGGCACCTATGCCATGCTGCTGCGGGCCAAGCTGAAGGCCGGCTCCGAGGACCTGGCAGCATTCGAGTCCACCCTCTTTGATGCAGCGGGTGGGGAGGACGATGGCCTGAAAAAATCCCGCTCCAGCCCCTCGCTCAATGCGGAGCCCTCTGGCACAGCCACCAAGGTGAAGCGTAACGTCTCTGAGCGCACCGGCCGCCATCCCCCTGGCCACCCCCACAAGTCATAAGTGAGGGGCATCAGCCACTTGTGCTGCAGCTCCGTTCCTGCTCCCCCCCGCCCCAGAGCTGGGGTGGAGGCCACGTGCTCACCGAGACCCTGCATGAGTCCATCTGTGGCACAAGCTGGGGTGGGGGTGACAGCCCTTCCCCGGCTGCCAGCACAGCCATGCAGGGCCACGGCCCCTCCACCAGAGATGGTGGCAGAGCAGGATGGTCCCTGGTCCTTGCCCACGGGAGCTGCTAGCACCGTCAGCTCCATCAGACTCGTTCTTGCCCCTCCTTGTCCTGTGCTTGGCTGCAGGACCCAGTCCTCCTGCCCCAGGGACGGGGAACAACTGAAACCCACCCACTGGGCTCAATTCTTCAGTGGGTTTTTTGTTTTTTAAAAAAAAAAAAAAGACGACAAAAACGCAGCAAAACAAAGCCAGCGGCCGCTTCTCCTCTAGCTATCCGTTGTGCCATGGGGGGCAGCCAGGAGGGGGGCCAGCCCTGGCTTGTCCCCTCTCCTGGGGCTGGTGGCCAGGGGAGGCAGGGTGATAGCACTGGCCCCCCTCCCTGTCCCCTCAGCCACCTCTGCACCCTTCCCGCTTTCTTACTACTTTTGAACGGTTTTTGTGATACAGTTTTGCACTTTTTAGTACCAGATCGAGCTGACCACCAGGGAGAGTTTTTTTGGGCTACTTTTGATGTTTTTGGGAACTGTTTAAGAAAAAAACAAAAAACCACAAACCCAGCCCTGTCCTGTGGGCACTGCACGCTGGAGGGGGGGAGGAGGTTTTTACATGGACTCAAGGGGAAACCCAGCTCTCCCCCCCCCCGCAGAAAGCTGAGCTCCTGCGTGTGCTGCTGCCTCCTTCCCAGCCCCACTCCAGCACCAGCAGCCCTTTGGAGAGAGACAGCCCTGTGGCCCCTGGCACCAAGGAGGCACCCTTGGGATGGCAGCACCCAGTGCTGCACTTCTGGCCACACGGGATGGGGGGGCTGATGCACCGGTGCTTCATGATCACCCCTGGCAGCCTGGAATGACCCAGTTTGCACCACCTGGGTGTGAGCATCATACGTGGGGCATGGTGGGCAGCAGCGTTTAAGTAACCCCCGGGGGAGATGCCCCCTGAAGCCAGGGTTGACTTGGGGCTCCCCACTGCCCTATGGGGCTGGCACAGCCAGAGCCAGCTTGCCTTCCCATGCCGCTTCTCCAGTGCATGGCTGGTGCCTCAGAGGCTGCCAGCAAAGCCTGGTCTGCAGCACTGTGAGGTCCTCATGCCGTATCAGCAGTGGTGCAACCCCTTCCTTGGCCATGGGCTCCCTCCTTGCCAAGGTGTGGGGGCAGCCTGAGGCAGCCCCCCCCATCCCCCCGGGCTGGGCTGGAGGATACTTGTCCAGAGAGAGATGCCAGTGGTGGAGTGTGGGTGCAGCGGTGCGCAGGGAGGGATCTGGGGACAGCAAAAGGGCTGTGGGCAGGGGGCTGGCACACATGCTGTTCTCAGCCACCCTGGACCCGGCTGGTTTCAGCACTGACTTTGCGAATGTGTCAAACTTTTTATTCTGCTCTTTTG